GTTTTGATCAGGATTCTTCTATAGAATCTTTGAGCAAAATGTTCAGTAATGGTAGCCGGCCATCATCCAGTTCTTCTGATCTCATGGCAAAGGAGGCAGTTGTTCATGGAGGCAATTAGCCATAAACTGCATATCCTCTTCCTGGTCTTGACACTACTTCTTCCTCTGTTGCTCCAGGCAAATAGACAACAATTGTCCTGCCTTGGATAGCTGCTTGCAAGCTTTTAAGACCCCAGGCACTACACAACGAACTAAGAGGTAAAACAGAAGCACTAAACATGTGATTAGGCCAATTAACTGGGATGTTCCATGGAACTATGACCCGAAACCTCCAAACCAAGGAACCAAATCCCATGAGGTTTTTGGTTGTACATAAGCATCCTCAGCAGGTACTCTTTTGTTTTTTCTGTCATTTTTGTAAATATATCTATCACACAACTTTTGCCAGTTAAACTTTTTACAGGTGTACAACTTATTGACAGCATTTAGCATAACTGGCTGTGCAACCCTACTCTCAATCAATGCGATTTTTCCATCCCCGTTAACTCCCCACTTCCCCCTTGCTCCCACCCCTGGTAACCACTAATAAACTTTGTTCTCTATACATTTGCCTTTTCTTATCTTTCTATATAAGTGAGGTCATACAATATTTGTCAGTTTGTGATTGACCTGTTTCACTCAGCACAATGTCTTCAAGCTCCATTCATACCGTAGCATGTATCAAGACTTCGTTTTTTTACTGGCTGAGTAGTATTCCATTGTATGTCTGTACCACATTTTGTTTATCCATTTATCTGTTGATGGGCATTTAGGTTGTTTCCACCTTTTGGCTATTGTGAATAGTGCTGCAATGAACATTGGTGTACATGTCTCTGTTTGAGTCTCTGCTTTCAAGTCTTCGGGGTATATACCTAGGAGTGGAATTGCTGGGTCATATGGTAGTGCTATTTTTAGTTTTTCGAGAAAACACATCAAGATTTTTGCTGACACTTTTATGCCAAAGAATTATTCAACCCTGCAACTAACTGTGTTTGATTTTTTTTCATGTACGAGGTTTTTAAAAAAGGAAATTTATGTTGCTGAAGCTACCAAAAGCAGCTAGCTAAACATACACTCCAAAATGCTGAATTACGGTACTTTGAAAAGTTTGCTAACTCATCCACAAACCAGATTTAATGTTGTGAGAAAGCAAATTCATTCTGGAACAACAAGAGGATATGATGAGTGACTCAGGGAGAGAAAAGTCCCTTAACATAGCTGATCTTCAGTTTTCTCATCTGCAAAATGGAATTCAAAGTTTACTTACCTCATTGAGACTGTAAGTGCATAGTAAACATTCACTAACTGTTAATAACTATTCTATTATACCTTAGAAGGTGGTATGGCTGAGAAAATGCTATATGTCCACCAAATCCTGTTATACTTTGATTTTTTCCCTGAGCGCACAGGAAGACCATGATTTCTTAGTTTCCCATGTGGTCAGGCTGTGATCATGTGACTGAGTTCTGGGTTGTGGGAAAAAGTAAGGAACACCACTTCTGGCCTGGCTCTCATAAATATCCCACATAACCCTCCTGCCTCTCTTCCAGCATCATATTACTCTTAAATTTGAATATGTAGATCTAGGCAGGGCAAGCATGATACTGATTCTTCTTATTGGCAACTAGATAGCAGTCAAGTGCTAACACTGTCATAGTTTTAATTTATTAAAGTATTTAATATGATTTGATTAAGGCTACAATTATTTTCTTCTCACTCATGCTTCCTGCTTTTCATTTAAAAATAAATGGTAAAATAAGAATTAAGAAAGCTAGCTCAAAATCTATATTAAAATAAATATGGGGAAATGCCTTAACACATCAGCTAAATGTTTGCAAAATCCATTGGCAAACTCTCCCCAGGGTGGCCAAACAGCTACTCCTTGGAGAACAAGTCTGGCCCCTATAAGTATGTGCCCATAAGTGGGCATCATTTATGCCTAAACATCTACTAGTAAGACCGCCTGTAAAGGAAATGATGGCCTGGGCGCCTTCTTTCTTTCTTTTTTTTTTTTTTTTTGTCCTTTTAAGTACAACCTGGACATCTTATCTTTCCCTGAAGCTTTTAACACCCCCTTTGCATTTCCAGGAGCCCTGGTAGGCAGTGGTTAAGAGCTTAGTTGCTAACCAAAATGCCAGCAGTTCGAATCCACCAGCTGCTCCTTGGGAACCCTATGGGGCAGTTCTACTCTGTCCTATAGGCTCGCTATGAGTCCAAATTGACTCAGTGGCAATGGGTTTGGTTTTTTGGTCTTGCATTTCCATTCCCTCCCAGCATGGCTGGCTGAAAGGAAGATGCGGGGCTAGAGGGAAGTGCCAAAAGAGAAACCCACCCCTCCTCCTAGCTGGATCAGGGTTGCTTGCCGTGAGCAAATAAAATGCGTGTGCCCACTAACCTCAACATGGTTTTGGTTTTGTGAGTCATGTCATGGTTACAGCATTCTCTTCCTTTTGTAGGGGGGCATCATAACAGAGGTACAATTTTTATCACCTAAGTTAGTAGCTTCCAGACAAAGATAGACTAGGGAGAAAGGTCTGGTGATCTACTCTGAAAATCAGCCAATGAAAACCCTATGGATCACAATGGAATCAAACGTATCAACTGGATCATGAAGATGGTGCAGGGTTGGGCAGTGTTTTGCTCTGTTATATATAAGGTCACCATGAGTTGCAGCTGACTGAATGGCAACTAACAACAACATTAACAAGTTAAAAAAAAATGCTATGAAGATAATTTCTATATGAGTAACCTAAAAAGTAAAGACGTCTCTAGCCTTTTCCAAAGAACCCTAGCTGCCCTTATAATTTTTAATGTGAACATACAATGTGGAATACTATTGGCTTAACATAGATATAGATATTAATATAGCCATAGTTATAGATAGATATAGATGATATATAGATACAGAAGCAATCAAAAGCATTTAGGTTTATTCTATATAATAAATTTCTTCATGTACTTCCTTTACCTTGAGAATATAATTTAAATATATTCAGGAGAAAACACTTCTCCTGAAAAGAACTTTCCCTCCCATTAGCATTAGCTACTTTTTATTTGCCCAGTAATTCAGTTATTCATTTAAGAACAATATGTGGGGCTTTGACCCTTGCCAGATGGAGCTGTGCACAGTGCCCAGTGCGCAGTGCAGTGGGGGACAGTCAGAGGGCACCAATAGCAGCAGGTGGCCCAGAAGACTCAGCCTGATTCAATCATTCATTCAGTACTAGCCAGAAGGACTTTGGACTCAAGGCCAGCAGATGTAGCTGAGAATAAGCATATTGGGTTGAAATGGTTAAGCGCTCGACTACTAGACGAAAGGTTGGAAGTTTGAACCCACCCAGAGGTACCTCAAAAGACTGCCTTGGCGATCTGCTTCCGAAAGGTGACAGCCTCGAAAACCCTATGGAGCAGTTCTACTCTGCACACGTGGGGGCGCCATGAGGGAGGACTGACTCGGCGACTAACAACAACAACAGAATTCACGATAAAACTATGTTTTTTCAGCAGCCTTCTCCCATTCAGCTTTCAGAATGCTCAAAGCCAGGCTTATGTCCCCAGTCCAAGAGAAAACACCCACTTGAAAAAACAAACAAAAGACAGCTGAGAGCCCCACAACAGATAAGGTCAATTCCTGCTCAGTTTCCCTTGGTGAAGTCCACAACTCATCAAGACTTGCCCATGTACACAGGATTTTGCACTAGACTTGAGTGTCTCATCCTTAAATATGAGCTTGTTTTCACTTTAGCAGTATTCCTGCCAAAAATGCATAATCTGAATCTAACAATGAGGAAACCTCAGACAAGACCAAACTGGCCTGTACTCTTTCCAAGATACCAAGGTCAAAATACACAAAGAAAAAAAAGCTAAGGAACTGTTCCAGATGAAAGGAGGCTAGCAAGACAAGGCAACTAAATGCAATGGATAATCTTGAATTGGCTACCGGACTGGGAAAAACAACTATAAAGAAGAACGTAATTGGAGCAATTGATGGATTTGAATGGACTCTAGAGTAGATTATTGTACTGAATCAATTGTTAAATTTCTTTTTTTTATAATGTTATTTTTTAATTATTTTAAGACTATGATCACATTAATTTACAAATCTGTGCCAATAATACGTCTCCTCTATCTTAATCCTTCTAATGAGTTGGTAAAAGCGCCATAACCAATCACATATATACAGTAGTTCAACAGTTTCATGTTTTTGAATAGCTGCTTGAAGACAATTCTGAATTACAACTTAGTGTTAGTAAAGAATTTAAAAGCAAAATTCAACTTTCTACTGTATCTCCTCATGCTGACTTTTAAAAGCATCTGACCTTATAGATCATCTATAAACTGTGAGAAGTGTTAAATATTCTTTATTTGATATCAAACAAACCACACTGAAATGGCTTTTGTTAACTAAAAGGCAACATCTTAGACACAGGGAATTTTAATTAGAGTGACATAGGTAAGAGCCAAGATAAAGTGGCCATCGCTACCTTATCTCCAGCCCTTGCGTTTAAACAGGCTGATGAATACAAACTGAAACACAGAGGAGTCTTCTCTGTTCCATGAGACAGTGAAGAGGTTTCCCCAGTATTTAAATATATTCATATAACCAGTTACATACACGTAAATATAAAATCAATCTCCTAGAGGTTGTGAGATGGCATTTACCAACTTTGTGAAAAATTGAACACTACTCATCCAACCTAGCCTCAACTCCAAACATATCTTTAGAAGGGTAAAGGAGTGATAACACTTGTTGAACTGAAATTACTATTAAAATTTAAAAAGTTTCATCATATTTATTTAACTACAGCCAATCTTATTTAATTCAGGACTGTCCAACAAAAACACTCTATCAGACACTCATGATATGAATTCTGGTGTATGAGATCAATTTAAATACGGTACATATAAAAAAAAGTCAAAGGACATTACTATTTTGTAATAAACAAGGCAGTGGCCGACTATTACTCATTAGTAGCTTTCTTGAGATAAGCTATCAAGTCTGCCCTTTCTGCCTTCTTCTTAATGCCAGCTGTCATGGTTTGAATTATGTCCCCCAAAAAATGTGTGTATCAATTTGGCTAGGTGCACGATTCCTGGTACAGTGTGATTTTCCTGTATGTTGTAAACCTGCCTGTATGATGTTAATGAGGGAGGATGGGTGGCAGTTGTGTTAGTAAGGCAGGACCTGATCTACAGACTGGATTGTGTCCTGAGGCAATCTCTTGAGATATAAAAGACAGAAGAGAGCAGCGAGACAGGGGGCCTCATACCATCAAGAAAGCAGTGCCAGGAGCAGAGCGCGTCCTTTGGACCGGGGTCCCCGCACAGAGAAGCTCCTAGTCCGGGGGAACGCTGATGAGAAGGCTGAGAGAGAGAAAGCCTTTCCCTGGAGCTGACACCCTGAATTTGGACTTTTAGCCTACTTTACTGTAAGGAAATAAACTTCTCTTCATTAAAACCATCCACTTGTGGTATTTCTGTTATAGTAGCACTAGATGACTAAGACACCAGCGAAGATCATTTTTGTTCCAGGGATGTACTTCTTGGGATTCTCCAAATTCTCCATCAGTGTGTCCTCTCCCCAAGTGATACCATTGGTCTTATTGGCATCCGTGTAAGTGAATCCAGGGGATTGACCCGTCTTCCGCCCAAACAAACCATGTAGATTTGGCCCAGTCTTGTGCTTGCCTCCCTTTTCCACAGTGTAGCACTGGCCACATTTCTGAACAAAAATCTTCTTGCCCTTCTCCACATCACCCATTTTGAATTCACTATCTCGTCACGTGCGATTCAAAGGTCACCACTCTGAAGCCCAGTGTCCCGCTCTCCTCAATGTTAAATTTCTTGATTTTGATAATTCGACTGTGGTTGTGTAAGTGAATATACTTGTTTTTAGGAAATAAACACTAAAGTATTTACTCTCAAAGGTTCAGAAAAAAAAACTATGTACCTCTATTTTTTGACAGAGAATGATAAAAACAAATGGGGCAAAATGTAAACAAATGGTAAATCTAGGTAAAAGATGTGTTAGGGCTCTTCGCACTCTTCTCGAAAATTTTCTGTAAGTTTGAAATCATGTCAAAATGAAAAGTTACAAAAAATATGAGCATGTTTTCAGAGAGTTACTATGAAATATATAGACCAAATCAAATACACAGAAAAAAGAAAATCAAAGGAAAGTTGGAGAGTACAGAGAAAAACTTTACAGAGACTATTATTAGTATTTTCAGAGTGATCTCATATAAGAGAAAATACTCCATGAAACAGGATCAGGGTACCAGACGATTATTCCAAACATAAGAAAAGTCTCCTGGAAATTAAAAATGTGAGAGTAGAAAGGTTGGAAGTTAAAGTTGAAGCAAATTCTATAGAATTTTATACCCAAGAAAATTATCCTTCAAATCTGAGGGTGGAAGAATGGACATGCAAAATCTCAAAATTTGAATATGCAAAATAACAACAACAAAAAATTACCTTTCATGCAACATTTTTCATAATGTGTTCCAAGAAAAAAAAATGAAAGAGAAAAAAATGGAATCTAAGAAACAGGGAAACTAAGCCAAGACAAAGGCAAATAAAATGCTGGAGGAACAAACAGTTCTTCTTACCTCTCCTCCCATTATATGAGTTGAATAGGAGCTACCCATCCTCATCCCCCAATACCCAAGCCCAGCCAATCACCTTTATTTTCAGAATTTCTTAACTGGGCCTAAGAGAAGAGAGTACTTTCCTTTCAGGTTAGGATGCAGTGAGGATGTAAAGCCCAAGAGCTGAAAGTGACCAACCTCCTGCCTTGTCAAGACATTTGACCCAAGAGACTGAATTTGGTAGAGAGAGGATAGAAATGATGAGAAGCCAAAAGATCATTCTACCAGTGATTCTATGTGTTCTTAGCTGCCCTCTTTTTCTAGATTGCAAAAATTGGCCATGAATTTCATCAAAAAGTGGAATCTGTCTGCTCCTTGAATCTCGGTTTGGCCATATGACTCTCATTGGCCAATGGGACATCAGCGAACATGAAGCAAGTAGAAGCTTAAAAAGTATACTTTGGGTGTTGCCCTCTCTTGCTGCTGAGAACCCTTCCATTAACATATGAAGTGGTCTCAGCTAGCCACTTGTAGGATGAGAGACTATGTAGAGCAGAGACCATGTAGACCATCTTAGCTGCTGCTTCCTAGATCAATCAGCTCCCAGATGACCTTCCAGCTGACTGCAGTCACATGAGTGACCCCAGGCAAGACCAGCAGAAGGATTACTCAACTGAGTCCAGCTAATTGCTGACCCACAGAATCAGGAGCTAATGATTGTTTCAAGCCACTAAGTTTTGGAATCATTTGTTATACAGCAATGGATAATTGATATACTCCTCTCAAATACCTCCCCCTACAACACAAACAAATTTTCTTTTTTTTTTCTAAAATAAATCAGGTTTCTGCCATTTGCAACCAAAAGAAGTCCTGACTAAAATTACAAGGCTTTCTGTGCTTGTGTCATTGACTTGGTGCCTGATCAATTAGTTTAGTTTATTCTGTGACTTGAACTTATACCCTGAATCCCAAGCTTCCTCTTCCAACCTCTATGTTGCCATTATCCACCTATGTTTTGTCCTCACAAACTACTAAAGAAACTTCTTCCCCCTCCTCCTTATGCTCAAACCTACCAGGTTGGACCCCTTCCCATGGCCTTTGCCAAGGGCCTGTACCTGCCACTTCCTGTTGGCTCTTCTCAATGCCAACTGCTTGACAATGTGACTCTCCATCTGTTACTGATTGCTGGGCCTACTGCTACCACGCTTCACTTGTCTATCTGGGCTTCCTCCCGCAAGTAGGAGAGCTATCCACCTGACAAATGCTGACAGTCAGCTTCCGCTCTGGATCCTGCCTCTCTCCAGGCTGTTCTGTTCCATGAGGTCCAGATTCCCCCACTCTTACTATTCTGGTTTACCCATTTCCTGAGATAGAGCTGGATCTAAGAAGTTGTGTGAATCTCTATGAGCATTCATATTTAGAAAACAAGTTGTATACAGCAGAAGTACATGGCAATTTATTTTTGAGACAAGCCATGAGGAAATTCTCTCTTCCTGGTAGAATATTGGCAAGGCTATGGCAGGGACTTGTGGAGTGTGCAACACTTGTGGAGTGTTGGTAGGCAGTGAAATTGGTTCTCAACAGTGACTGGACTAGACAGGCCAGTGCCCTGCTCATATTCCCTTACCTGCTGCTGTTGGGTCAATTCCGACTCATAGTGACCCTGTTAGGACAGAGTAGAACTGCCGCAGAGGGTTTCCAAGGCTGTTATCTTTCTGGAAGCAGACTGCCATATCTTTCTCCCACAGAGTGGCTGGTGGCTTCAAACTGCTGCCCTTTCGGTTAGCAGCCGAGCGCTTTAACCACTGCAACATCAAGGCTCCTTCATGTTCCCTTAAGGCCTTACCATTTCTGTGCCCAGTAGCCTGATGTCCAACTGCCAGCCTCTGCATATTTTTGCCAGAGAACTTTCTCTGGTGCTGGAACCAACTTTACTTCCAGATGGCAGGCCAGAAGTGCTGGAGAGTTGAAGTCCCACCCCTAACCTTTTCAGCCCTCACCCAATACTAACCAGAGTTGATGTATAAATACCCCAGTTCTCTTGCCACTGGGGTGGGAATAACCCTGAGGAGTAGGTTTTACACTGACTCCCAGAGTTCCCGAGCAGGATTAAGCTCCAGTTGCCCACAGTGATAACTTGCTTGATATTGCACACCTTACTGGTTTCCTTCCCTCCTGTCGTTCTCTCCCAAGTAAATTACATGCACTTGGATTTTTATATCGAGGTCTACGTCCAGGAGAACCCAAATGAAGACAATAACCTCACCTATTGAATGCCTTGTAAAACATGGGCTGTATCTATGAAGGTGGTGGTAACAATTTAGGAGGCAAAAGAACATAGTGTTATGATGACCAGAACCAGCCACCTGGATGGTGAACAGGATTAAAGCTGCCCCTAAGCCCTATTTGTCCTTCATTGGAGAGCCTGGGTGATTTTCCTGCTAGTAGAGTAACTGAACCAAGCATGAGTCGAAGAGACGTTTTGTTATCACCTGATTCATCTACAGCATGGGTATCAGTCACTTCATCCAGGATTCATAGAGCAATAAACTCGTGAAATTTAATTTCTTGTAATGTGGAGCTACTAAAGCATTCTTTTGCAGATTTTTTGAGAAAAATGACACTCTGATGTGGTTACTTGTCTAAGAACAAAGTATAATTTAAAAAGATAACCAGGGTGTTCAAATAACTATGTTCCAATAGTTATGAATCATCGACTTGTTGATTGTAGGCTAAAACAGAGTTTAAATTAGTTGTCCTTATGAAAGTTCTATTGCCAAATGTCTTCAGACTTGACTGACTTTTTTGGAATTAATACAAAAACAGGGTTTGGATCTGAAACTCGCACAGGGAGTCCGTGTGGTCCAGAAAATTATGAGTCTGTACTTGTACATGTGAATGAAATATTAACCATTTTTACTCCATCTTTTGTGACCGTGAGCAGTCAAGGCTCCGAATTAATTGGGGGAAGACCTTAACATAAATCCACAAAAAGGAAAAATTCTCAATAGTTCTGAATGATGATCATTCCAAGGCGGAAAAAAAAAAGCAATTTCAGCATCTGGGAGGCAATGGGGACCATCTGAATAGGGCTTACTTTGCTTGCAGCCAGTATTTCAGTCATGGCTTTGTCAAGGGTTCTGAGATTCTTCAAGCATGAAAGGCAGGATAGGAATCAAATCCTCTCTCTGCTTAATAGGGAACGTCTTAGAACTGCTTCAAAATTAGCCTTGGCTCAGCTTAATGACATTTCTCCATTGTTCAGCAGCGGCTCACCAAATCTGCAGCATTCAGATGGCGGCCCTTCGACTGTGAAAAGCCCCGAAAATTACAGAACATAAAAAAAAAAAATAAAGATTATTATTCCTCGTCCCCAGGTCCATGAAAAGAATCAAACCTGCTCAGCCTTTCGAGGGGGCTAAACACTAGAGGCACCCCAACTCAGAGGGCACACTTTGTTCTCACAATGCGCAATTTAACGCATAAAATGCTTATGATACTGGGCCAGAAGCTTGCCCACTGGAACTCACTAGCCCTGCTGGGCTACAGAAATCATTTTCGAGGACAGCAGAGTAACCAAGGAGCGTGAGCTGGGGCCACTCCTCGCCGGTGTCACTGGAGTCTCTCCAGTGGGATTTTACCCAGAAGGTTATCTCTCTTGAGACTTCTCCCCAGCTCTGGTTAAATTAATTTGCCTTCACCGGACTGAGATAAGGGAATTATAATTGCTGCTCTAATCCTACCCCTTCCACTCTGCACCCACAAACACCCTCTGTGTTTTCCAAACTCCTCTAAATATCACTGTATATACAACATCACTCTCCATATGACATCAATAGGTGTATAAAATGTGACACTCCAAGCTCACGTCGAACGATTCCCTCTCTGTCTGTTCATCTCGCTCTGGTCTGAACAAGAGTGCACCCAAACTTGCCATCTTGGAAGCACAAATCCGTTGAGCAATGTAGCAAACAAAGGATCCCCTGGTTCAAATTCTACCAATGCCCAGTGCTGAAGGGTGTAAATAATTGATTGGGTCTCACTGGCGAGTCCAGTTTGATCTTTCATTGCTTGGCGACCCCTGGGGTCTGTGGCTCACCGAGAAACAGGGACATTTAGGATTGTTTATTATCAGCTCATAACTAATTTATGGGTTAGTATGGAGTCAGCTGCACAGACTCAAAGT